CCACCCTCTTACGTTTTTAGTTCTTCTTCCAACCACACGCAAGCATCTAGGTCCAGGTGGTTGGTGGGCTCATCCAGGAGCAGCATGAAGGGCCGAATAAAAAGGGCTCTGAAGGACAGGAAAGGAAACAGAGGCACCTCAGAATTATAATGGATGTTTCACAGGAGGGGACCAACTTGCCTGCTACATGCAATTCTGGGTAGGCTCCTGGCCTGAGTCTTGAAATCAATTCTAGGCTCTGTACCTCAGAGGGAAAAGGAGAAGTAGGACAGAAACCAGAGCTGAAGAACAGACATTGAAGAGTAGACTACAGGGCTCAGAAGCACAGAAGCACAGTCTGAGGCAAGGCTATAGAAGTCTTTATGAGTCTATGAATCTTATACACTGAAGTTGGAGACCATGAGGAAGACAGAAAGATATAGAGGACATAAACTGCTAAAGCAAATTAGACCTATCTGAAGGCCTAAAGATATTTAGACCTATCTGGTAGGGTGGCCAAGGCTAGCAAGGGATAGATTCTAAAGCTCTGGTTCCCAAACCAGAAATCTGTGTTTTTAAAAGCTCCTTAGGTGAACCGGAGGCAGCTAATCCTTCCTAGCATGTGAAACCACTGTGCTCATGTTCTAAAGCATACGCAGGCAGTTTTCTAGAGCAGGATATCAAGTCTTATAAATTCCCTTCATGGAGAATGATGGGACAAGGAATTACCTGTTTAACTAGTGACACTGAGGGGATTATTGGCGGAATGCTGGTCTATAGAAACTCACTTTGAGTCCAGGCCACAAGACAAAAAGAACAACGCTATCTTAATAGCTGTCTCACATTTTATCTTTAGAGCTGGAATTAGCAGGACTAGAGCACAAAAGGAGTCCTGGTGGGAGGACAGAAACAGAGCTACTCCACCATTTTCTTTTTGACTACTCCTAGGATCTCTAAACCCAACCTTCTGTTGGGTGCTGGGAATCCAACAGAAGACGGAGTCACTCTTGACCACTTGAGCCAGGAAGCTCTCACTCTGGCCCATACACAGCACCCCCTCCCTCTCCACACTGCAGATGTCCAGGTCTTGTTCAACACTCACTGACTCCTGCTCCAAACAGTTCCACTGAAGTAAACATTAAACTCTGGAGAGATGGGGCAGCTATGGGGTTAGGGAAGGAGGGAGGGACTCACCTGGCAAGGGCAACCCTCATCCTCCAGCCCCCACTGAAGTCTTTCAGCTTCTTGCGCTGCATGGCAGGTGTGAAACCCAGTCCGTGCAAGATCCGCGAGGCCCTCATCTCTGCCTTGTCAGCATCCAGCTCCTCCAGGCGTTCATAGAGCTCCATGAGCTTCTCACACTCCGCTGTGGACAGTGCATGGCCATGAGCCTCCTGGGAGCCTTCCTAGAAGAAGCCCACCCCCACGCCCAGGTCCGGAGCCCTACCATCCTCATGAGCCAGCCGCTCTGCCTCCCTCTCCAGCATGGCCCGCTCTGTGTCAACTTCCATCACACACTGCAAAGGTGTCTTGTCACTCGGGGGCATCTCTCGAGTCAGATGGTAGATGTCGATATGCTCAGGGATGGGCACTTCACGTTTCCCAACAGCAGAGAGCAACATGGACTTTCCTGAGAGGGGAGACGAGCAGACGCTGGGTACAGTGAAATTCCCTATTCTTCTTCACCACTGGTTGGTCCACCCAGCCGAACTGGGACCTCATCCATTTTTCTTGAGGACCTTCCTTCCCTTCATTCGCTCAAATCTTGCCAGCCCCCATTCTTGAGATTCCTTTCTGACTTTCCTCCAATTCTTGCCCGCCCCTTCTCTGAAGCCTTTTTCATTTACCACAGCTTCACACGCCCCGACCAACTTCTCCAGCACCTGCTGTCTGTAACTACTGATGTGGTAGGGGGTGGATGTACCCTTATCTGAAAATCCAAAATGCTCCAAAATCCAAGACCTTTTAAGCGCTGACCTGAAGCTTAAAGGAAATGCTGATTGGAGGATTTCCGGTTTTTGGATTAGGGATGCACAGCTAGTAAGTATAATGCAAATATTCCAAGATCCAAAACACTTGTGGTTCTATGCATTCCAGATAAGGGATACTCAACCTGTACATACCACATACTGCTCTGCATTGCTAGTTCCTTTTCCCTGGACATGTCTGGTCTCCTACCCATATTGTAAATGCCTTGCTCTGAACACAGCTGGTGCTAAATAAATACTTATGAGTGACAGATGAGCCAAGGAGAGATTCCTCCCACCTCCCCTTCCAAGGGCCTCACCAATTCCATTTAAGCCAATGAGGCCATAACGACGGCCTGAGTTTAATTCCAGTTTGGTGTCACTGAGCAGCTCTTGACCGTGAAAGGTGAGTGACAGGTTGATAATGTGAACGTCGGTACTATTGGGGTGAGAAGCCAGGACGCCAGTGACAGCTCGAGCAGCAGCTTTCTTCATCTCAAAGTCCTCGAGCTCCTTGGTCAGCAAATCCACTTCTGGGGATAGAAAGCAGTGTTTGGGAAGATGGCTGTGAGACAGACTCAGCTCTCCACAAAGAGGAACATCCTGAAGGACTGGGCTCCAATCCTGCTGCGCAGACTCAGATGTTTCTCAAGCTTTACAGAGTGCACACTGACACAGAGCTGCCCCAACAGCCTGCTCGCCTGGACACCCGTCCTTTTCATTATAACCTCTCTTGTCCTCTCATGTCTGTTTACCTATGTTCATCATTCATAACTTCCTGTCCTGCACTACTGTGGCCAGGAATAAAACTTCCCCAAGGCCTGGCTTTATTGTTCCTTCTAATTGCTTTTTAACTCCCTGCTTTCTCAGTGCCTATCTGTTACAATTTGCAAGACTAATTCTACTTTCCTCTTCAAACATTTACTTAGTGTCTATCTGAGAAGCAGGTCATAAAAAAAAATCACCCAAGACATGGTCCTTGCACCAAAAATCAAATAATTTAGATAAACAGAAGATACAACATAAAAAGTAAGTAACATGAAAAGACAGCAAAGGGGTACAGGGAATGGAAATACTGAGGTCAGGTCGGCCTGAGAGAGGCTTTGCTATCTTGAGCTAGGCCTTGACAGAAATGTCCAATGTAGCTAGCAAAAACATGATGGTAGTAGAATTCAGTGTGTGACAGGACAGAGATGTGGTGACTACTCAAGAGGCAATCAATAGTCTGGGTAGACAGAGGGCTGTTTAGGCGGTTTTCAGGGGGCAGGGAAGGGGGCTGGGATTGGATTGCCAAGGGCCTGGAGCATTCTCTACTGCATATTGCCATGTTTCCCTGTCTAGATGTTAAGTTTTTGGAGGGAACACTGTAGTGCCTCCGTGTGTAGCACCATGTCGAGCACTTGAGAAATAATAACTATTTCCCAAAATATAAATAACAGAAAGGCAGCTCTCTCCCAGGAAAAAACCCCATAAAACAACTCATAAGTTACTGTCTGGTAGGTGGAGTCACTAACCCTGTGAAGACAAGTGTATGATGTAGCCAAGAACCTGGCACATTGGCCACCACGCGTAGAAATGGAAACTGAGAAAGGGTCAGGGAATTGGCCCCCTCCTCACAATCTAACAGAGCAGCAAGGCAGCTTGGCAACTCCCACATCCGCTTGCCACGGAGTATGTGAGAACTTTGTCTTCGGCTTCCTTGTTCAATGACAGGGTGGCACAAACTCAACTCTACTGACTTGATTCATCATGAAAAGTTTAGTTGCATGACACCAGATATATTCTCCACTGCCCCCAGCATCAAGATTCCCACTCTAGCCGGGGCATTCATTAAGTCTTAGCAACCATCCCCAACTCATCCCTCCCTCAATTCACCTGTGGTCTCTCTGCCATTGGCCTCATTTTTCTCCTCTGCCACCTGTGGTTCTGTGACAGCATCTCCATTTTCTTCATGTCCTTTTCTGGGCCGCTGTCGAGCTTTGGCAGCCTCCTTCTTTTTGGCCGCCTTCTTCTTGGCCAGGTCGGAGGGCATGATGATGACCCACAGGGGTAGGATACTGTTATTTCAGGGAGCCTGAAGGAAGGTAAACAGATACCCCCCCAAACTCTAAACTTACTGGTAAGAATGCCTGGGTCCTGCTCCATCTCTCTCAGGAATCCGCCTATCAATATCAAGCCTCTGATGCCCTGGTCTGTCCCTGCCTCTTCCCTCCCAACTTGGTCAGGGTCTCTCAAACCAATGCCGATTCTCAGCCGCTCGTCCAATCTTAACATTTCTTCCCACAGGCACCAGTCCCCACGGACTGTCTCACTCTGGAAATGCTCCTTCTTTCAGGGCCTCCGCCTGGGAACCAGGTTCTGCCCCTCAGCAGAGGTTCCCGTCTACGGTTTCCCTACAACTTGGCTCTCTGCACTCAGCCGGCCGCCTCACTTTCCGGGCTTCCTTCTCCCATCCCTCTCGGGCCTCTTCTCGGTCGTCCCTCTCCACATCACCCAGTCGTTGAGCCCAGCCTCTTGCCGGGACGCACTCGTCCTCGCCCGCGTGAGTCCCATCCGAGTCTCCACGCTCGTCACCCCTGGGTCCTCCCCCACCCCGCCCGTCAGCTTCTCTCCCTTAGCCCTATCTTCTCCCTCACAGAACCCTCCATCCAGGCCCCGTCCCTCCTTCCTCTTCTAATACTCTTTCCCCCTCACTGACGGGCACTCTCTCCCTACAGCGCCCCTTCCCCTAACTCACTGGGCCTCGCCGCTCGGCCTCTGTCGCAACCGAGCTGCTCCTTGGGCTCCTCCGCGTGCGGCCGGCTCACCAGCCAATCAGAGCCTCGGCTGGCTTTCGGCGCGCCGTCGCTCAGCCTCCTGGGAAGTGTAGTCCTCAAGCCGCAGCGGTCAAGGGTGAGATCCACCTTGAGGACTATCATGTATCCCAGGGACCTCGCGGGGCCGCGTGACGCCATCAGGATGCGCGAGGCTCTGAGAAGGGTGGGATTAGAGTCCAAGAGCTGACAGCGGGCCCGCTTCGGGTGCTGGAAACTGCAAATACCATATTGCTCATCCTATAAGCCGGCTGAGCCTTCCAGGCTTTACCTCACCTCTCGAAAATCGATTGAGCTGTTGTGGAGTTCTTAAAGACCCGTAACCGACTCAGGCAACAGAGCGTGCGACTACACTTCCCAGCTTGCCTCATTGGGAGTAGGTCGAAACAATGGGAGAGGAGAGGTGGGAGGTGAGGGGAGAAGGAGGAATAAAAGGAAGGGGGCGATGGGCAGGGGTCCCAGAAAGCGAGGCATCACTGCGAAGATGTTGCCAACAGAATTCCTTCACGAAAGAAAGCGCCTTCGTTTCACGAAACCGTAATTTTAGAGGCTGGTTCATTATAAAACTTTTAGAAGGTGCCAGTCGTTGTTTTGGAACCTCGGCCGCTTAGCTTACCCACTCCAGAATTGTTAGGTTCCCACTAAAGCCATGCAAGTTTGGTGGAAAGAGCCCTGAGATAAGGCCCCTTGACCACGATTTCGTTTTATTATCAGTTAGCCATGCTACTGGGCCCATTCCGTTCCCTTTGAGCCTCACTGTTTAAAATATCTCACATGACAAAAAGTTCGGGCTGGATGGTTTAAAAATAAATACAATTTCTCACAGACTTTGCGTACATTGTAAGTTCCAAATGTGTAGCCTCAAGTACAAGGCAGGCCTTTTGTGATCTTTGTTACTTCTCCAGGCTCCTGTGCGGCGGAAGCCTCACCATCAGTGACACGTGAGGAAGCAAAGGAAGCTGTTGCTCCCTGTAAGCATATTCTCCAAATGTGGCACCTTTTCGCCCACAGTCCATGACTCAAAAAATTAGAACTAGTTTTTCTTCTCAAACTTAATAATTCAGTAGAACTTAATTACTTACATAGTTCAGAGATTAACCACGCTATTTTACACCTGCTTTCCTTTGAACATACATTTTTCTATAATATCCTCCACAATGAAGTGCCTACTATCTGTTAGGCTCAGATATATGTGCTGGAGTTGCAATGGTGAAAAGTCACTCCCTGACCGAAAGGAGTTCATAATGAAGAAGGAACATGTGATAAGTAAACAGGCTGGGTGTGGTGGCTCATGCCTGTAATCCAAGCACTTTGGGAGGCCATGGTGGGGGGATCATTTGAACCCAAGAGTTCAAGGCTGCAGTGATCTATAATCAAACCACTGTACTCCAGACTGGGTGACAGAGCTAGACCCTGTCTCAAAAACAAACAAAACATAACAAACCAGCCATTGACACTATGACATTAAGTGCCCTAAAAGAAGTGACTTACGGGTGCTGCTGTAACCACACATTTACAGTTGGTTCTCTGTAACCAACATTTACAGTGTGGAATACAGTCATGAGCTGGGCGTGGTGGCTCATGACTGTATTCCCAGTGTGCTGCTGGCGTACCTAGATGGAGACCAGACCTCAGTTGGCATAGCATAATTAAGAGCATAACCCCAGTTCTACCCTTCATTGTGTGGCCTTGGGCAAAGTACATGTTCCCTGTAAAATGGGAATGATAGTTTGAAAAATAATACAGTTAAATGACTGTAAATCCCTTCTGTATGAAGCAAAGGAGTTATTTATGATTGTGGATCATATAAAAAGTACTCATTTGGGCTGGGCGTGGTGGCTTACTGTAATTCCAGCACTTTAGGAGGCCCAGGCGGGTGGATCCCTTGAGCTCAGGAGTTCAAGACCAGCCTTGGTAACATGGCAAAGCCTCATCTCTACAAAAAATACAAAAATTAGTCGGGTGTGGTAGCGCACACCTGTGGTCCCAGCTACCCAGAAGGTCAAGACTGCAGCAAGCCCATATCAAACCACTGCACTCCAACCTGAGTGACAGAGCAAATTCTGTTCGAAAAAACAAAACACGACAAAAAAAAAAAACAACAAAAAACCACACACAGAGTCAAGCGCCTGTGCTTCCTAGGAATGATAATGCCTCTCCTTCCCCAGCCTCATTTTAAAAATGAGAACAATTACAGAGAACAATGCTTATTATGCTCTTTCATTTACGCCATCACATTAAATCCCCCAACAACCTCTGAGGTGAGTATTATTACCATTTTACAGATTAGGAAACTAAGGTGACAAGCAGCTCTGTTGCCCAGGCTGGAGTGCAGTGGCACAATCATGGCTCACTGCAACCTCGACCTCCTGGGCTCAAGCGATCCTCCCACCTTGGCCTCTCAAGTAGCTGGGACTACAGGCAAGTACCACTATGCCCGGCTAATTTTTGTGTTCTTTGCAGAAATGAGGTTTTTCCACGTTGCTCAGGCTAGTCTGGAACTCCTGAGTTCAAATGATCTCCCAGAGTGCTAGGATTACAGTCCCAGGCATGAGCCACTGCACCCAGCTACAATTTTTACACTTGATCTTAACCAAAAGGCCGAGAAGCGATTGCCCAGCTACAATTTTTAAATTTTGTGTAGAGATGGCTTCTTCCTATGCTGCCCAGGCTGGTCTCAAACTCCTGGGCACAAGAAATCCTCCTGGCTTGACCTCCTGAAGTACTGGTATTACAAGTGTAAGCCACTGTCCTCCCCCCGCCAACTCCACCCTGGTATTAGATAGAGAAAAGAACTTGGGATGAGGGGAGAAGAAACAGGTAAAGAGAAATGGGAAAATGGGGGAGAAAAGGAGGTGAGTAAAGAGAGAGGAGAGCCGGGCGCGGTGGCTCAAGCCTGTAATCCCAGCATTTTGGGAGGCCGAGGGTGGATCACGAGGTCAAGAGATCGAGACCAACCTGGTCAACATGGTGAAACCCCGTTTCTACTAAAAATACAAAAATTAGCTGGGCATGGTGGCGCGTGCCTGTAATCCCAGCTACTCAGGAGGCTGAGGCAGGAGAACTGCCTGAACCCAGGAGGTGGAGGTTGCGATGAGCCAAGATCGTGCCATTGCACTCCAGCCTGGGTAACAAGAACGAAACTCCGTCTCAAAAAAAAAAAAAAAAAAAAAAAAGAGAGAGAGAGGAGAAAAGGACTGGCTGAATTTGAGAAAATCACAGGTCAGTGCTGGAAGCAAAAACATTTGGCTTAGACTCTGTTTAAATTATGAAGAAACTGAGCCCCAAGGAAGGAATTATCTCTTGGAGAATTACCTAAGAACTTAGTAACTGAAAAGACTCTGGATCCGCACTGTTCAATACAGTAGCCTGCGCCATGCGTGGCTATGGAGCACTTGAAATGTGGCTAGTCTGAATTGAGATTTGCTGTTAAGTGTAAAATACACACCAGAATTCAAAGATTCCATATGAAAAAAAGAATGTAAAGTATCTCATCAATAATTTTTCATATCAATTACATGTTGAAATGATGTGGATATATCTAACAATACAATAAAATATTAAAATTAATTTCACCTATTTTTTTTTTTAGTCTAAAAAATGTGGTTACTAGCTGGATGCAGTGGCTCATGCCAGTAATATCAGCACTTTGGGAGGCCAAAGCAGGTGGATCACTTGATATCAGGAGTTCGAGACCAGCCTGGCTAACATGGTGAAACCCCGTTTCTAGTAAAAATACAAAAAATTAGCCGGGCGTGGTGTCATGCACCTGTAAATCCCAGCTACTCAGGAGGCTGAGGCAGGAGAATCGCCTGAACCTGGGAGGCAGAGGTTGCAGTGAGCCGAGATCACACCATTACACTCCAGCTTGGGCAACAAGAGTGAAACTCTGTCTCAAAAAAAAAATTTTTTTTGGTTACTAAAAAATTTTAAACTACATATATGGCTCACATTTGTTTCTTACACTAGATTTCTACTGGACAGCATTAGTCTAGAAATCTTCTGACCTCGAGCTAGGTGTCTCTGCTGTTTTCCAGAGTCTCTTCCAACAAGTCATTTACCACCTATCATGTGCCAGTTGATGAGGAAAGATTCAGTTGCAGTCTAAGGATGAGACTGAAACAGGGACAGCAGGTGCTGGTGGGTAATGTATCAGTGAGTTCTACATTAATACTCCTAGAATGGTGTATATAAGATATACATACAAGATATTCTTGAGTGGTTCTTAACTTTACCAGCTCCAGTGTTGTTCTCATTTAATAACTTTTTTTTTTTTTTTTTTTGAGACAGAGTTTCGCTCTTGTTGCCCAGGCTGGAGTGCAATGGCTTAATCTTGGCTCACCGATTCAAGCAATTCTTCTACCTCAGCCTCCCAAGTAGCTGGGATTACAGGTATGTGCCACCATGCCCGGCTAATTTTTTGTATGTTTTTGTAGAGACCGAGTTTGTCAGGCTAGTCTCAAACTCTCGACCTCAGGTGATCTGCCCGCCTGGGCCTCCCAAAGTGCTGGGATTACAGGCATGAGCCACAGTGCCTGGCCTTAATAACATTTTTATAACTCCCTGTTTACTATTTTGAAATGAAGTTCATAGATGATATAGCCTAACTACATACATAATTTCAAAACAGTGATAGTGTCTGAACCATAACAGAAGGAAGAAATAAAAGGAAACCCTTTATAATAAGATAACAATTTTATTTCAGTATGCTGAAATAAAATAATTATGCTTATTAGTCAGATGTTTATATTTATGCACAGGAGCACCTTGAATGTGACAGTGCAAATGCAGACTGAATGCCATGAATAACACTGTTATCAGTGACACTGTTCTCCAAAATGGTGAGTAACTCCTGGGACATTCCTGAATACATCAGAGTATAATCTTCCTTCTGTTAACATGGTGGTTACATTCCTTAAAAATTCAGCACATTTCACACCACTACAAGATTACTTTGTTTTTTGTATATAAGACACAGGTGGCCAGGCTTGGTGGCTCATGCCTGTAATCCCAGCACTTTGGGAGCCTGAGGTGGGTGGATCACAAGGTCAAGAGTTCAAGACCAGCCTGGCCAAGATGGTGAAACACCATCTCTACTAAAAATACAAAAATTAGGCAGGTGTGGTGGTGGGTGCCTGTAATCATTCCCAGCTACTAGGGACACTGAGGCAGAGAACTGCTTGAACCTGGGAGGTGGAGGTTGCAGTGAGCCAAGATTGCACCACTGCACTCTAGCCTGGGCAACAGAGCGAGACTCCGTCTAAAAAAAAAAAAAAAAAAAAAAAGACACAGGCACATCAGATGATTATAACCAGCTTTGTTTTTAATCTATATAAATGTTCAGTAGGACATGAGAAAGCTGTGTGGGATCAGCAGAGTTTTCTTTTCTTTTAGTAGAGACCGGGTTTCACCATGTTGGCCAGGCTGGGCTTGAACCCTGACCTCAGGTGATCCACCCGCCTCGGCCTCCCAAAGTGCTGGGATTACAGGTGTGAGCCACTGCGCCGGCCTAGGACAGGTTTCTTGTGTGATACCATCTTGCAATGTGCAAGACATGGAGCCTCCTTGGCCCCTCTCTCCCAATCATTTGATAACAAAATTGCTCCGTACATTTGCAAATTGCTCCTTAGGGAGGGTGCCATTCTGGTTGGGGAACCACTGTGGTGGTCCGAAGGCCCTTCCTGTTCCCTGTCCCCCACTTACCTGGGGCTGTTCTCCCTGCACCAGGCTCTAAGATGCCCTGGGCCTTCCCAGTTCTTCTCTAAGCCAATGTTTCCTCTCTTAGGACATTCTAGTGCTCTCTGCCTAGAAAACTGTCCACTTCATGTTTGGATGACTCTTCCTGAATGTTTAGATCTCAGCATTGCCAAATTCCTAATCTAATTTAATACTGTTTAGTTTTTCCACAAGACTCTGTGCTTTTCTGCAATGGATTGGGATTTCTACCCGTTTTGTTCTTGCTATGTCAGTGTGTTTAATGCCTGCCTCCCTCAACTCTCAGTTTCCTGAGAGCAGGGACCATGCCCATCTCGTCCACCACTTATTTCCCCAGCACTCACGAAGATGCCCGGATCTTAGCTTCCTTAGATGGACGTACGGGGCTGGAAAACAACAAATACTTGTTAGGTAACTGAAAGGCTGATGGGATTCCCCAGCCAATTGGGAGAAGCACACACCCGAGAGTGGGGGCATGTTTTTTTCCAGGGCAGATGGGGTTCAGCCGAAGCTACGGGGCACCTTTGGTCCAGTCGGGATTTGCCTGGATTCGCGTCTGTGGGGGCGCACGCGTCTTTCCGGTGGGTGGCCAGTTGGGGACCGGCCGCCGGGATCCCAGCCGAGGCTGAGCGCTGTGCGGAGAAGCTGTGGGAGCGACCATAGAGAGCGCGCGCGCGGGCGGAGCGAGCGGCCGGATGCGGTCACCATAGAGACAGGTGACTGACAGGCAGCGGAAGAGGAAGCTGCGGGCTGGGGCTGTGAGGTGGCAGGGGTTGCAGCTGCGGAGCCGGCGTCTCAGCGGGCACTGGGGTCTGTTCCCCCTTCCCCGTCCCTGCTCCCTGCCAGGCGCGTGCCGGACGCCGCTCTTGGTCCCCACGTCCCCGCCCCCGAGCCCCCGGCCGCCCTTTATTCGGCGTCCGCTGGTCCTGGACCCTGAGACCCGGGCCTCCTCCCCGTGGGGCTTGGGCGTCCCTCTTGGTCCTGCGCTCGCTGCCTCGGTGCTATCTCTGGCGCGGCCTCTGCTCCCGCCGACGGGCCTGAGAACGAGGTCTGTGCCTCAGTCTCCCAGCCGCGACCTCCGACCCCGGCTCGCAGAACGATCCGAGCTGGACTCCCGAGCCCCCTTCTCAGCAGCCGGGTGACGTGGCCAGTTTATTTCTGTTTTGAAACGAACGACGAGGACTCGCGTCGGGCCTTCGTTCTAGGGCTAGGCTTGGTCTCTGATCGCCTAGAGGTAGAGCAGGCCCCCGGCAGGGATCCTGTCGGAAGCCGGCTGCGCTTCTGTTTGTGTTCTCAGAATCCTGTTTGCTTTTGGTTGGTTTCGTTTGGCCTCGGGCCCTGGTAAAACCAGGCACAGCAAGAGTTCCAGTCCCTGCCTGCTGTCTCCTCTCAGCAGCTGGGGTTCCGAGGACAATGCTCTGCAAGATGGCTCCATCGGCCATGGCGCTCCTGAGAGGCTGTCAGTGCTGAGTCATCGATCCGTCTAGCTCATTCGGGTGGGCAGAACTTGTGTGTGCCATGCGAATGGCTCCTGGCCGCTCCTGAGTGGGAGGCGGGGTTCCTGTAGCCATTGCGTCTCCTCACGCGAGGAGCAGAGTAGAAAGAGGCTCTGGCCCCTTCCCTTGTGCCCGCCGAGCCTGCTGCGGTGGCTCAGCAGCCCCGTCAGTAGCCTGCCTGAGGACCTGTGCCAGATCCAGGCATTCTTCAGGAAAGGCCCACTGAGGCCGGCTCCGGCTTCTCTGGTTGGGGGCTGTTGTTTTTGATGGATCGTGTGCTTTCCCCTAACCTCTTATTGCTTGCTGTCATCTGGTGACTTAGGCCCAGTCTGCAGATGTGTATAGTGCTCCTTTTTGGGTTAGCTTTGGCGGTAGTTTTACTTTCTCCTCTCTCTACTGGAAGACACACCATAGTCCCAGTGTAGTGAAATTGATTGTTATATGTATTGCCGTGTGGGCTGGGGGTTAGGTTGAAGACCAGGCAAAGGGAGTTGTGAAGGCAGGACAGTCAATCTTGGGGATGCTGGGCCTGGAAGCCAGTGTGCCTTGCTCTGTTGTTGGCCTCATTGACCCCAGGTTCTCTGGTTAAAACTTCAGGCCTACGGCTGGCCTGGTGCCCATCAATCCATTGATCCTTGAGGTTGTGCCCTGTGGGGCACCCACATGGCAGGGCCTGCCACCATGCGACTGAGCTCCCTGTTGGCTCTGCTGCGGCCAGCGCTTCCCCTCATCCTAGGGTTGTCTCTGGGGTGCAGCCTGAGTCTGCTGCGGGTTTCCTGGATCCAGGGGGAGGGAGAAGATCCCTGTGTGGCGGCTGTAGGGGAGCGAGGAGGGCCACAGAATCCAGATTCGAGAGCTCGGCTAGACCAAACTGATGAAGACTTCAAACCCCGGATTGTCCCCTACTACAGGGACCCCAACAAGCCCTACAAGAAGGTGCTCAGGTGAGAGCTATGTGTGTGCATAGTCCCCAGACACTGGCCCTGTTTGGGGCTGTTGTAAATTCTTGCCTCTGCCTTTCTATTGGTAATTGGTGTCAGGTGACTTGGAGCAATTATGTCTTATTTCCCATTATGGTTTTCGTTTTTTCTCTCCTCAGATCTTAGAAAGTCTCACTCTTTGGTGTTAAATTAGGGTTAGATGTTCTTGAACAGAGTTGAAATTGCATCTAACCCATCTAATCTATTCTTAGTAGACTCCCTCCCCTCCCAAATCAATTCCATTGTCAGCTAGTTAGTGGATACTCAGTTCAGAACCTAATTAATATTGACAAGGAAGGAAGTTTCTCCCTTCTCAGCCCCAACTCACTCACCCCTAGAGGGGGGTATATATACTTAATAAGCTGGGTTCCTGAAGATGAGGGAGTTGACCCCTGGCACACTGGTCTTTCCACAGGACTCGGTATATCCAGACAGAGCTGGGCTCCCGTGAGCGGTTGCTGGTGGCTGTCCTGACCTCTCGAGCTACACTGTCCACTTTGGCTGTCGCTGTGAACCGTACAGTGGCCCATCACTTCCCTCGGTTACTCTACTTCACTGGGCAGCGGGGAGCCCGGGCTCCGGCAGGGATGCAGGTGGTGTCTCATGGGGATGAGCGGCCAGCCTGGCTCATGTCAGAGACCCTGCGCCACCTTCACACACACTTTGGGGCCGACTACGACTGGTTCTTCATCATGCAAGATGACACATATGTGCAGGCCCCCCGCCTGGCAGCCCTTGCTGGCCACCTTAGCATCAACCAAGACCTGTACTTAGGCCGGGCAGAGGAGTTCATTGGTGCAGGCGAGCAGGCCCGGTACTGTCATGGGGGCTTTGGCTACCTGTTGTCACGGAGTCTCCTGCTTCGTCTGCGGCCACATCTGGATGGCTGCCGAGGAGACATTCTCAGTGCCCGTCCCGATGAGTGGCTTGGACGCTGCCTCATTGACTCTCTGG